CCTTTCGAGATCAAGTTGAACGGAATTCGGACTAACGGCAGTTTATCTCTCTTCTTGAGACTTTCGCAATTTGAAAATTGATAGTTTGAGAGAGAGAGAGAGAGAGAGAGAGAGGGAGGGGAGGGAGGAGATAAGAAATGATTATATTTAGACGTCCACAAGGACATTGTAACTGTATGGAGTTTAAACAGAGAGAGAAAGAAGGGAGTGGGGAAAGTTGGGAGAAAGAATAAGAGAGAGAGAGAGAGAGAGAGAGAGAGAGAGAGAGAGAGAGAGAGAGAGAGAGAGAAAGAGAGAGAAACGAGGTTTCGAACGGAGTCGAGACTAGACTAGTTCTTCTCCCTTGCGATTCGCGACGACGAGTCCTGGTTTATTTAACACCACGACCGATGGTGTGCTAAGAGTCAACGTTCCACGTTCCGAAAACGGAAACGGACTTATTCTATCGTAAAAGTCGACCTCGCAGCAGCAGACGACGATAACCGTTTTGGCTCACGGCGCAGGATGATAAGATGATCGGATACGAACGTGTCCGGCCGCGAATGCGACAGAAGCGTTGCTCTCGCCGAGAAAACCAACTTCGACGTCAGAAAGGGTCAGATTGTGACGCGAGGAGAAAAGAAAGATGAAAAGCAACGGAAGATAGATGAACTAAAGTTGAACCTGAAATATGATATCAAAGGCAAACAAGAAAGAAGGATAAGGCGTGGCTATTGAAAGTTGAAAATTGTGAAGGGCAGGCGAAAAAGGAGAAGGTTGTTCAAAGCCCTCGAGTAAGAAAGACGAGGAAGAATAACGAGGTGGAGGACGAAGGTAAAGCAAAAATAGATAAGGGCAGATCGTAAGTGGAGTCTGATAAGTGTATAAATAATACGCGAGCGCCAAGATAAAAAGCAGAGATGAAGAGAGAGAGAGAGAGAGAGAGAGAGAGAGAGAGGTGTAGATGGAGCGAGATGTTTGCGGGCGAGGTGTTTGCGGATAACAGGTTTGTCGATGTTAGTGCCGTTGCCTATCAATTTATTCTCGACGTATTGACTGCCGCCCGAGCCGTTCAAAAGAACGCAGCCTCGCGTTATGGGTAAGCCCTCGTCCTGAAATCTCATTCGAGATATCACTTCCACCACCTGTCGACGGCAGGTGTAGGGAAAGGGGCCAGAATATCCTCTTCTTCTCATAGAATTTGAATTTATGAAACACCGAGGTGAAAATCAAATAAAGAGACCGTCTTCTCCGTGAAGTCAGCGCGTCAGTGTGCGTTATTAATAAACTCTCGCTAAAGAAAGAATACCGGTGAGATCTCCAAATGTTCAAAAACGAATACGTTTCTCCGATGAATTTTCCTCGGAAAGAATGAAATTATTATTTGATAAGCGTGAATTTATTTCGTTTAATTACCCGAGATATACCCGAGGTATCGACCAATTATTTTTCGTAATATGTACACACGTTTAGATAGTGACAAGACAACAAAAGCAATGAGACCTTCCCTTCACGACTTCAGTCGTATGCTTGTACAGGCTGTGTATCTCACGTTGTTCGATTATCCTTGAGAGTGGCGATATAAAAATATTGTACCCTAAAGATTACATCGCAATTTCCGCGGACGAAACGACACTTTCGCGCGCGCGATTTGCGAATAATGCCTCCGGTACTGCCATTAAAATCGTTCGTCTGCCACGTCGCTCCGTCGAGAGCGGTACCGTCGAGGCTATGTTTACGTGTCATTCGTTTTGCGCGATATCTTTCTCGCTTTGCTTCTTTTCCGTCTCTTCCTTTCCCGCTCTCCTTTTTTAATCGTATCCCCACATTAGCCGCACAATTAAGGAAGTTTGCTGGAAGCTGCTGGGCCAGCTGGCGACGTACTTCGTTGCATAGTTTAATTCGTTTTCGTGCTCGAACAAGGAGAAGTAATTTCATTCTCGGGCTCGTCGATATGTACGGAGTCGATTTTGCGGCGAAATTAAACTGGCAACTCCGCGCATACGAGGGAAAAGCTCTACTGCGGGTATTTCGCTATTTCGTCTGAGCAAATCACGCAGGATTCTGATACGCGTATTCCATATTACGTAACAAATTTTACATTTTATACGTCGGAGAATGTTACATGACGGTGAGATATCAGGCGATATCCGTAAGAGCAAGGGTGGGAAGGGGCAAAATGATGACGTTTCTATCGTAAGTACTGCGTTTGCGTCTGTTTCCCTTTTTTATTCGCGCTGTATTAGTCTATTTAGGAATGTTACGCGATATGATCAGCTTCCCCTTGTGTATTCATACATCCCCGACATTTTCTCGTCTACGTGTCGGCAAACTTATCACATACGAAACCTTATCATCGCGCAGACAGTAGGCGGCGAAACAAACGCGAAAGGGAGCGAGGATGCGCGCAGGCAGGGAGTACTAAGGGCGGAAATAAACTTTTTATTGCGAGTTTCCGCAAACACAGACTGCCGTAAAAACTGAGGAAAAGTCTCGCGGCGATGCCGTGTATTCGTGCAAGGCACATATCTCAAAATTACAATTTATGTTACAGTCGAGCACAGTCTCTCTCTCTCTCTCTCTCTCTCTCTCTCTCTACACAGTCGTACCGTTAATTACGTATTTCAAATACGAAAACGTTCCTTTAATCCCTCGTTGATCAAACACTATTGTGTAGGGAGGAAAAATAAGCCGGTGATTCGCCGATGAAGCGAAGATAGAATTGAGGCGAAACAGCTTGTAAACAAATGGTAATGGTAATGGTAATGGTAATGGTCATAATTTTGGAATATTCTACATATAACAGCTAAAATGGCCTCATTTCGTACGAATAAATGGCTCGTTCTCTCAGAATTACGTATTTATTCGTCCGCAAAGCAATTTAATGTTCGATAAATTACCCGTAATTTTCAATCTCCCAAATTCCATGCGACCTGCATATTATTTGTCCGTATGCGCGAGAGCTTTGTGCCCTTTCCCCTCTGACGCTTGTATCTTCCGACTTTTTCTCTGGAGAATAAAATCCGAAAAAAGATTAAATCGTGCGTTATATAAGACTATTGGCTATTGGCATGTGAGAATTAAAGGGGAAAAAATAAGTTAAATCTTGCGCTACACACACACACACACAAGAGCATCGCCTCAGAATATTGAGTGTCGTAGTTACCGCCGCTACTGTCACACGTACTAGGACATATATTGCATCGGATGGGAATTGGTTGGCTACGCAGTTGCACGTCTGTGGCAGAACATCGCGAGACCAGGGAGGACTGTAGCAAATCGAGGTCAATATCGTTACCGGCACTGGTGACACTTTCGAGTTGACAGCATCGACGGGTTATCGGTGGGCCGGTTTCGATTCGGTGCTTTAATCGTACAATCGCATCAGTGCGCAAAGAAAATCCATTCTGTAGAACCAAACGTTTCGGCTGCGGAATCATGACAGCGGGAAGAAACGTGTCGCGTGTATACGATTGATAGAAATCCCGGTTGATGAAATGAAAATTCATTATCACTATCCGATGGAATCGGATCGGAAGCGACAGGCAGCGTAACGACGAGGGACGGCTCGGTGAAGGCAGAACTCCTGAGGCGGGAAAGGTCGGGGGCCGAGGAGAACGAGACGAGGCTGCAAGGGTGCGGCAGGGTAACACTAACAGCAGTCGAGGGTGGTAGGATGTGGCCGGTCGCTCAGTGAGGGTGGTTTCGACGTTGAAGGATGGCGCGTCGCTGCGAGACGCGCCGGGAATGTTTCGCCACGTAGTACACACATACGCAACACGCGCGCAAACAGAAATGCAACCTCGCACGACAAGGCGCATCCCCAACCGAGAGACGATCCGCAAGATCGTATGAATCGTGTTCGGTGACGAGAATAGCTCTCGACGAGGCCAACGTACGGCTGCACTTTACGATTTTATCAAACGTCCAAGTATCAGCGTCGCGACTCTCGGCAGTGAAGTATATTTTGCGCGAATTTCGTAGCGGAGTTTCGAAGAAACTCGACTTTGCTGCAAAAGACGGTTGCGTGCATCCGTCGGTTTTCTGCCGGTTTTCTCACTATTGGAATATTCGACTGAACTTGATTGAAATAAATCTCAAGAGTGAATCCTTTGCGTCGGAAAGGGCACATCGATCTTCTATCGATTGCATTGACGATTGGTCTTTGAAATAGCAGCAGACAACAACGCGTAATCAGATCTGACATTCTCGCATAAATAAATATGCCGATTGATATAAACGTTAGAGAGCAAATGTGGAGTAAACTGAGGGACGTTTCACTAACGCGCTTTAGATGCTTGCAGAAATATCCGTTACTGCCGCCGCCTACTGACGTCTCTAAAATCCGTAAAAACGGAATGTTTTGAGGACTTATTCGCTTTGTTTTGTCGCGGAAAGACTGTAATTATTGCGCGTTAATTGACGCTTTAATTATCCATCAGTCATGCTCATCGACACGCCCGTTTTCTGCTTTTCTCATCGCCTCACCTCGTCCCTCCCTCCGTCCCATTCCACCGCGAGCGTTCCTCGCGGTAAAGGGCCGCAACGTCACGCAGATGTACCGGCGTGTAATATAAGTAATTTGCAGCCGCTGCAATATACTGCGCCGCCCGAGTAACGCGAGGTAGCAAAACAGCCGTCGTTTCCCAAACGCGAACATCTCGGTTGTACCATTAATTTCTTCCTCCTAAGGTTCGTAACGGTCCAATTACGTGCCGCAACGAATTGCTTCCGATTCTTTCCGTCAGACTTTGCGTGTCACCGCGCCCCTTGGATGGGGAACGATCTCTCTTTCTCCTTTCTCTTTTCTCTTTTTTTTTTCATTTTGCAACTTGCGTTAACGACATTAACGTGACGTTGTCAGGTTGCAGTTTCCCTCACTAAGTTGTTGAATAATGTTTCAAGTTAAAAATTTTTATCTCGCGGCAAGTTGTACGCTCGCGGAGAATCTCGGCGAAGATGTAGAAGAAGGAAAAAGAAAAGAACAGGTAGTCTTTAGAAGTAAATTATTTATCGCTCACCTGTTCGACCCACAAGTTCGTCGTCATGATCTGGTTCTTCAAGTTCTGCAACAAAAACGATCGTACTTTATTAAAAAAGTAAGAATCGTACGCTCATGGATTCGTTATTGCGTGCGGATTATCCATTGTCAATTACATTGTGGTGGTCACAAAGTGACAAATACAAATGACAAATCGCCGCGAGATATCGCGCGATATGTTTCGCGATGATATTTCTGCCGCGGCGATGCTGCTTCATGAGAAGAGAGCGACTTGCTCGGGCGACTGAACGTTTCCTGACGGAAAGTGCGCATGTCTCGGCGTCTATGTTTCTTCTTTTTGCCGCTGTCACTGACATTACTGCATTGTAATTTCCGGATTCAACGCCGGCCCGCGACTAATTGCCCGACCGGCTGGCCAATGTTGGTCGGGCACATAGTTGGAACCCGGCAGCGGTAATCCCGATTATGGACTGCCGGTATGCGATTTTGGACTTTCCGCTATTTCATGAATCTCCGACATTCACAATTCGGTTGCTGTAGTGGAATATGCGTGGAATATGCGCGCGCGCGCGCGCGCACTTGCGGGTATCCGTGTGCATACGGCCGCGCAAATCTAATCCCGATTGAATGCGGACGACGTGTGTCGGGAACAAGTTGGTTCTCGAATACTTCTGCCGAATACTGAACGGGATACGCGATTACCGTTGACCTTTCGACATGCGTTAAAATCGATTGTTATTATACAACTCTGTATAATATCGCTCCTAATTTCCGCTCTCACCGCTGTATTACGCCAATATTACGAGTACGAGTAAAACCAACGCTTGCATCAACGCTTGCAGTTATAATTATTTGAACTTTTGCAAAGCCCGCTTTACGACGCGGTTTGCCGGGAATTTTGTCGGGACGATAAGTACGCGCGGTTGTACTCGTAATATCGAGCGTTTTCGTCGCGCGACGTCGATGAAGATGCCTGACGGGGTAATCATCGCGGCAACATAGTCGCTGCGAGAGTTGAATGTCGGTATTGAATGGATATCCACCGTGAGGTGAATTATTCTCTGCGATAGGAAGGCGGATTGCATTCACATGCAAATGCAATAATACCGATATAGCTTTGCTCTTTCGTGCGTGCATGCGTCCCGATGAACCGCGCATGTGAATGTAAGAATCGTGGGTGCAGTAGGCGCGATGTGATTCTCACTTGTTATTAAATATTTATTTATATAATTGTAATCTCTTTATATACACAGGCACCTCATTAGACGAGATGACAAGCGTATAAAAACATTGAATAGCTGAGATGCAATAGTGAAAAAAATAGAGAAAAATGCGACAACGCGCAAAGGAACCTTTGGGTTTATCTGAGACGTCACTCTATTGCATCTTTTTTGCAACAATTTGTTTTAACAATGTTTGCATTATATTTTCTCGATAAATTGGACTTTCAAAATTTCTCCTCACGTATCGCATCCTACATACATACATAAAATATTATGACTAAAACTATATGCTTGAAAACGATGAATCATCGGCAGAAACATTTATTTTCCCGGCTGAAGGAGGGCGATCAAGAGGCACGGTAGTGCCTCGCGCCAAGTTCAAGCGCAATAAGTTTTACTTGTACAAACTTATTGCGCTTATATAACGAAAATAATAAATTACATTGCCCAAAGATCGGTACGATGCACAATACTAAAAACGTATAAACATTGCCGTTTATCTTGAATAAAGAATTAATTATATTATAATCATATATATATGTTAGATTTCTCACTTGGCGTTACTATTTTAATATATCATTTCTTTTGTACAGTAGAACAGTGTTGTAGAGTTTTATTATAGTTATAAGTTTTACTTGTAAAATTTTGTTACATATATAACTTGAAAAAATAATTTCAAATTTCTAGAAATAACACAATACGTGTTGAGCGTATACTTGACGCCTCTTTTTCTTTAAAATGGTAAGTTTTATACAACATTAGGAGCTCTCTGAGACGCCGTCCCGGCGGGACAACAAGGTCGCGCGACTTTGAAAACACATGTTCATAAGTAGGCAACTGCCGCGACCGCTTCCATTATTGTTTACGTCGCGGCGGCGAACGGATCGGCGGATCGCCGCGCGTAATAATTTCCGAATTTTCACGATTACTCGATTACCGTGTACGACGCGCGCGTACTGTAACGTAATATTCGTATGTGTGTGTGTGTGTGCGTACGTGCGTGCGTGCGTGCGTGCGTGCGTGCGTGACGATCCGGAGCATCTTGAGCAATAGCAGCGTGGTCATGGTCTTCAAAGGTAAATTTTTATTTATTAACTTGGTCAAGTTGAAGAAGATAATTTGTAGTCTCGAGACTTCGTACTCTTGATGCGGGGCACATTTGTCGCTGTAATACTGTAATAAGGAAACTCGCTTTTTGTTACAGATCTGCTGGAGTTTGCGGCCACGCGATAGCTGCTGCGGTTACCGGGACGCAGTTTCGACGGACGCCGATGCCGCACCGGAGGATCCGGTTCGGGCCGAGCAGAGTCGGCTTGAAGGTGAGATTCATTGATCGTTTATACACTTCTTGATTCATCGCGATCGAAAACCGAGCGATTGGAATAAAAGCCGTTGAACTACGATGGCAAAAGGTCAACGTTTGTATCTGCGCGCGCGCGTACGCGCTTCCGCGAACTGAAAACTCAACTCAACTTTTAACCTAACGGTTTAACTAACGAAACTATATTTTTTGTTACAGATCCGCAGCAGAACGCGGCTGACTCTGGCTACTGTGTATCGGTGAGTCAGAGAAAAAAGACATTTTTATGGTGACGGGTGTTTGCAATATCTCGAGAAAATCAATGCGATTTAATTATATACCTTTTTCACACGTTGCTCGAAATAATCAGGAGATCGTGTCTTTCAATGACCATATTACACAACAGAATTTTTAAGATATAATATATAATATATCTCTTTTTTATGTTTACTCTGAATCACTAGAAGATACAGATATAAATGCTTTAGTTTATTATTATATTGAAATTAAAATATGGAATTATTTGCTACGATTCAATCAATATAACTCCTGCTTCGAGTAGTGTGTATAAATGTTAAAATTTGATCAGAATTGCGCCATCGCACGTGAAACCATTATTTATCTTATTCGGCTTGACAAATTTTATGTCTGTCGTATTTATCAATTTTCTACATTTTTCACGCGTGTTTCAGAAGTGATAATTCATTTCATTTGAAATTATCGATAAATTCGGTAAACGCGCGTTTATTTACATTACAACTTGGTCCTTACGAAACAAGATGTGCGTTTCTCTCGAATTACCATTCGCGAAACAAAACATTTTCGTATTTTCTCTTGTCTAAACGTCGTAACTTTCACTCGCGATTGATTCTACGCGAATCGCGTCTCACGTATATACATTCTCGGAACGTTGCAATTTATCGTGTTTATTCTCCTTTTTGGGATAAAAATCTCATCACTTGAACGCGACCATGTACGCGCTTCTTTGTCTCGCCATTTCTTTTCCTCCTTAAATCCTATCGAAATTAATGAAGGAGAAAAGATAAATAAAAGGAAAAAAAAAGCGACAAGTATTGTAAGAAAAGAAACTTGTCCTGGATGCTGAGGAGACTGGACATTGGACGGATGCGGAATCACAGGAGTCAACGAAAGTCGGTGAGTGTGGAGATCAATCGCTCAGAAAGCGTCATGTTTTACAATGCATGCTCATGTATAAATCGCATTGATTCTCGACCAGAGAGATAATAAAAAATAGTGCGCGATAATATGCGTTCATGTAGTTTGATAAAAATGTGAATTGCGAGAAGCACCGTTTGCTTCTTCTCTGATCATTGCGGGAATACTTATTCCGCGAAAAATTATTCCGCGAAAATCCATACTGATTACACTGAAAGCTTCTTTTTCTCTTTACACTTTATACGAATATTAATCTGATATTTTGTGCATAATATTTATGCGTAGTATCAATTTAAGAAAATTTAACGAATCACGACTGCTACGGCAGTCTCTTCCTCGATATACACCGACATATTTTTTCTCACGCTCGTGCTTCGGCTTCGAGCTAGCAAAAACACTCCGCGACCGCATTCCTCGTTAATGTGACCTCAGTGATGTTTACACCTCGCCAGGCGCGATCCCGCGAGCTCGTTGTTTTTGCGTCCGATAATTTTCAACATGTCCGTTTCTTTCCGCGAAGGCGCGTTTGATTAACCGGGCTTAAGATGGTAACCCGATAAAGAGAAGTGCCTGACGGTTCTTATTTCATTCCGTACCATTTGGTTTTACGTCAGCGCGAATGACAATTGAATTGATATGATCTTGTTTAATAACGATCACGCGATATGCGAAAAGCAACACGAAGACAAGAAAAAAGTATTGGCGAGTGCGCGTCGACCAAAATATTCAAATGTTATCCAGCAGTCTACAGCGCCGACGATTGGGGGCGCTAATGGTGAATCGATTGACGATTATCAGAGCGCGTAATTCGAGCCACAGGCTTCTTCAAAAGGGAACCGAATAATGTTTACTATTGTCTCCCTTTCTGCCTTCTGCCGTGCGTACGCACGGTGCGAATCTCAATTTTGCTTTATAAGTTATTACGACTATCGAATTACGCGACATGTAAAAGTGGATAAATAAGCGACAACACACTGGCCGCGCGTGTCTCTCATATCGTTTCAACGAAACAGCCACGAAAAGAGACACATTTGTTATACTCGTGTGTAATAATCGCTTCTCGTACGTTTGTTATTATTGTTCGCTCGTTCTTTCGTATCTTGTTAATATCAAGTGCATTTCCATTGAAGATAACGTGAGTTCTTCTGGCTTTTGGGACTAAATTTGGTTCGTAGGAATTAGAAATTCTGTTTTTTGTTCTTTTCAACCGAGAAACGTGTTTGTTGATCGAACGAAGGAAGAAGATAGATTGAATTATTTATTTATATATACACGAGGTAGAGATAGGTAGACAGATAGCTAGAGAGAAAGAGAAGAAGAGGGAGAGGGATCACACTACCTACTTCCTACTTTATATTCTATTATTATATCGCGGAGAGGGAAACGTGACAGTGCGTTATACGTCTGCGCTGTTCATTAACGCCGTCGTCTGGAATCCATTAAAATTGTGATGTATCTACAATTTAGCCGAGTTTAATAATATTTTATACATTCTATTTTCCCGCCATTCTATTTTCCCTCGTTGTCACCTCGCGCACGATATCGCAGCGAACGTCGAATCACCTCCGTGACGAATCCGAAATTAGATCGCGCTTTCGCGAGATTACGACTCGACGGCGACGCCGCATTAGCGCGATTTATAGAGGCCGCTAATTATAATTCGGGCGCGTCCGATACACAGGCGCGTGGTTCTCGCCGATTTGCCGCGCGAAATTAATGTCGCGTCTATTAATGCGGGAAGCGGAAAGCGGGAAGCTCCATGTTTCGGTTCGCGTGAATTTCCACGCCGATACGAGAGCGAACGAGCGAGTGAACGAACGAACGAACGAACGAGCGAGTGAACGAACGAACGAACGAACGAACGAACGAACGAACGAACGAACGAATGAGAATATAATCGATCGAGGTGGGGCATCAATTGTTTGTAATAATCTTGCGCTACCTCATACGTAACGTAACAATAGAATAACAACGATAAAACCGATATACAAAACAATAATGCAGTGACTCATTGTCACGAACTCTATTGTACCGTGTTGCTATAATCGTCGACGATGGTACACTTGACGTAACAATACCGTTACACAATGGATTAACGAACAACAATGATGCAATAACGTAGAGCCCGATTAATGGCAGCACCATTAGTAATTACTTAGCGATCGTTTATTATCATATCGCCGCGATTAATTCATTGCGCTAATGAGACCGCGACACAAACCGTACCGAAAGAACAGTCATTTCGAACTGTCCTGCATCGATTCGCCGCGACGTATCGCGAATTGCGCAAACGGACCGAAGGAAGGGACGGGTCACGGTGTAAATGGCAAATTACTTTACATGTAATTAAAGCCTGATTGCGGCGAAACGATCGCACCATACGCTCTTGCATCCACACGCATTTCCGCACTCCTCTATTAGCGCAAGCACTCAATATGTTAATTGATTCGTATTGAGCGTACGCTACGAGTTTTGCTTCACGCCGCTCGGTGTACGCGTTTATGCTATGGCAGGTATTTTAGTATTGTGTGCTATGACGTCCCCATGTGGCTCGTAAATGGAAAATTCTTGTTGAGTTGCGCGTATAGACGCGCAAGTATGTTCGCTTGCTCTTAATTCATTCCTGCGCTATGCCGGCCGCGGCATCGTGCTAGTTAGTTGGGAAAAGGGCGGCGAGGCTGCTTGTTTTACAAATGACCGGCGACTAATCAACGTCGACTTTAGAGAACTACTGCATCATTTTTTAAATATATTTTTGCTTCTTGAGTCTTCCACCAGCCATGCTTGGTGGAAGCTCGTTTTAATTTGGTCCGCGAATATTTCAATGTCAATCTAGAGCCACCAACTTGGACTATGCATTTCGAAACTTAATTTCGCATAGACGTGGTAAATCTAATTTATATTAGCTTTTACTTTCACTCCCCCTTCTCTCTTTCTTACTTATTCTCACAATCTCTAATGAATCATAATAAATTATAGAAATTTACTTCGGAAAACTCAATTTGTTCACATCTGTCGCCTTTTCGAGACGAAGTCATCGAGACGAAAGGAACACTTTTTACCTTGCTTATCCTGTCGCTTTACATTCGAATAACTTCTTTTGCTCTCGATGTTACGAACGCATCGTTGTAAAAGCGAGATAGTGAGCGGCTAGTGTTGTCAACGAACAAATCTAATTTGTATCGCGCTGCGACGGTGTAGCGTCAATTTATTAACGCGACTTTGACTTGACAGTGAATGAGATTTGTACCTGCGTGATTTTTCCTCCAAGAAATCGAGAGGAAAATAAGAGACGCGAACGGTCTTCTAATCAACGGACGATTTTGTTAAGGCGGAATCGGAGCAAATGTACGTAAAGGAAATATTCGCGCCGAGATATTTATGCATATAAAATTTTTTGTCTTAGAAAGTTGCAATGTTTGACGAATAAAATAAGGACAATTTATAATATATTGCTTCCTAAGATTTCGAATAATTAATATTTCGACAATTTCGGGACATGCAATATGCAGAGATATTCGTTTAGGTACATTTAGAGACGGATGGTGTGCGTTTGTACGCTGTTCTAATTTAATTAAAAATCTCTCCTCTCTCTCTCTCCCCCCGCAGTTAAGAATACGCTATATTCTAATAAACGTCCTCTCGCTGATAGGTGTATTTTCCCGTTGTTTTCGCGTAAATTCATTCCACGGAAAGAGGATAAAGTATGCAAATATTACTATTTTTAAACTTCTATTTTTACACTATCTTTAAACATTTTGCACTACGGTTTTACGGTTGCGAATTTTGCATTGCATCGGGCGCCGTGCATGATCTTGGAGATGAATCAGCGATCGGGAATTGTGCGAATACGAAAAATATTTATGGGAAACGTTACGAGCGCGCGACAAACTCCGAGGAAGAAGGTCATTGCGACTCTCGGATACCCGAGAATAATTTCTTCGTTTCCGAAGTCGTAAATCAAGATGACCGACAGTGTAGTGACAGTACACTGGCAAAAATAGATGCATGCTTAGGACAGCAGGCAGTGGGAGAATGAATAATGTTCTGTTTCCCAGTGATGAATATTTAAGATTGTTGAATAT